ACACTGATGTGAAAGGAACATGCTGATTGATTGCCTCTTGCACATGCCCCAACTGGGACTGGGGATTGAACCTACAATCCAGGTATGTGCCCTTGACTGGAAATCAAACCCAAGACCCTGCGGTGCATGTGCCAACACTCTAATCACTTAGCCAAACTGGCCAGGGCTAGAAGCAATCTTAATAAGAATTAACCTATTTTTCTTCCACCAAAGACTATCAGCCTGTCTCTGGTACCCTCTTCCTTCTAGTCTAAAGTATGAACCTTCAACATGCCAATTTAGGGTCAAACTCTCCATTCCTACACCTAAGTCTTCCCCATTTCAATATATGGTATCACTTGTGGGAAGAGCTCAGGAGATTTATCTCAGTGCAGTGGCGGATGCAATGGCGTGAGCTCACTCGCCTGTACAAGCTTCCTTGGCACACCAGGAAGTGGCAGCGCCTCCTGAGCAAGCCTCCTAGAGCCACTACATAGTACCCTGATCTTTCCTACCATTGGCTGCCCTAAGGATAGTGTAAACTTCTGATTGGTCCAGAATGTTATATATGCTGCTGCACTTACACAATAAACTTAGATCTGCGTCACTGAACCTGGTCTCCTGAGTCGTGCATGCCTCGTTAGGGCTCCTCGTCCTCACCCCAGAGGGACCCCCTGCTTCAATCACTATAGACTCAGTTATCGAAATTAAAAGCCTAAGATCATTCTTTTGTTTGTTTTAAACAAGGAACTATGGGATTTATGAAAATGTTTATTCTAAAGTAAAGCAACTTATAAATGTGAAAATTAAAAGTTTAAAAAATTTTTATCTGGAAATAAGGCAGACTTACATAAAGTTGCAAAATTATCAATAGTTCAAAGAATATCCATATATGCTTTACTCAGATTTGCCTACTGCTAACATTTTATCCCACTTGCATTATCATTTGCTCTCTTTCTGAACATGTGTATGTGTAGAGTACATACAATTTTTTTTTTATCATTTTAATATAAGTAAACAGACTCAAAGAGGTCAGGTACCCCCCTGAGGTTTATAGTTGTAGTGGCAGACCTACATATTCCAGCCCAGGTCCTTATCACTCTAACCTCATACTCTTAAATTGCACAAAGAGCCTGGAAGAATGTCACTACCAGTTATTTGGAAAGAGTGAGGGGACCTTTTGACTTTCTTTATATACTTAAGGGTTTTTGTTTTAGTCACAACCATGTACTATTTAAAAAAATTTAACAAAACATGCCCTAACCGGTTTGGCTCAATGGATAGAGCGTCGGCCTGCGGACTCAAGGGTCCCAGGTTCGATTCCGGTCAAGGGCATATACCTTGGTTGCGGGCACATGCCCAGTGGGGAGTGTGCAGGAGGCAGGTGATCTATGTTTCTCTCTCATCGATGTTTCTAACTCTCTATCCCTCTCCCTTCCTCTCTGTAAAAAATAAATAAAATATATTTTTTTAAAAATTAACAAAACAATACAAATATATTCCTATGGATCACTGAGACTAAAACAAATGATTTCCAAACATTTAGGAGGGCCACTTCCCAAGGAACAATACTCCCCCCACCCCACACATACACTCTAAAACCTTGCTAAATTATACAAAGACTGGCCTTTGTAGTACTGTATAAACCATGTCAATATTTTGATAAAAATACACATTTTGGTCAAGGGCGGGGAAAAAAAGGACACATATGTAATACCCTTTGTAATACTTTAAGCAATAAAAAAAAAATACACATTTTGCTTTAAAATTGTTTCTTCTTAGTGTGAATTTACACAAGAAATAGTGATCTGATGCTGTACAATCCAATAAGGTAGCCACTAAGCCACAAGTGCTGTTGAGCACTTACAATGTAGCTAGTCCAAATTGAGATGTGCTGAAAGTATTAAAAACAGACCAGATTTTGAAAACTTAATACCAAAAAGAATATTTCAATTTTTAAAGTATTACATGTTAAAATGACAACACAGGATATGCTGCATTAAATAAAATGTTATTAACCCATTGTACGCCATAAGCGTCTGTAGACGCAAGCGGAGGACCTTCCCCACACACCATAGGCGTTTATTAAAAAAAACACATTTTCCCTAAGTGGCAGCCCTGACCAACTTAAAATCATTTTTTGTGAGAATTTTCAGTTGAAAATATTCAAGAACACCCAAATTTGTGAGTAATATGTATATTTTTATAATATTGATTGCAAATTGATTTTTTAAAATTAAATTCAAAATATTGTGGCATGTGGGGATGGTTTCCGTTTTGGATGCGAGGTAGTTAACTGGTTAAAATTCATTTCAGCCCGACCGGTGTTGCTCAATGCTCCGTAGTTGAGCGCTGGGCCATGAACCAAGAGGTCACTTGATTCCCGGTCAGGGCACATGCTCAGGTTGCAGGCTTGATCCCCAGAAAACCAATGATTCTCATCATTGATGTTTCTCTCTCTCTCTCTCCCTTTCTCTCTCTCTAATACCAATGAAAACATATTTAAAAAATTCATTTCACCTTAATAAAACTTTAAAAATGTAGTTACTAGAAAATTTTTAATTACACATGTGGCTTACATTACATTTTTATTGGAAAGATCTGAATAAGTTTTACCAATCGGAAAAAAAAAAGTGTTTTGTTTTTTTACCTCACCTGGAGAATTTCTGATTTTCCTGTTTGTATGCAAAAAGAGTTTTTCTTTTTAACAGATGCTCCTTGAGTTTTTGTTTTCTTTGCTCTGAATAACAAAACAGCTACATGTCAACATTAGTTACAATAACATTGAATAAAAATGGACTAAATGAAGATTTTACTTCAACAAATGTTCTACTTAACATCACATCTTATAGATAGCAGAAAATCGCCCAGTATTCAGTATTGCCTTTGGAAAATCTTATTATTACAAGGCTGTTCCTATACGGTTGGTCCCACCTCTCTGCACAAGAATCGCATTACCTTCTACCTTGAAGTGAAACATCTGGAGAACATAATTCTCAACACACGGTTACTGAGAGGCAAGCTTTGGGAAACCAAATGGTAGAGGTGACGACACTGGACTCCACATTTTATTTACCGTAATTGAGTTGGGTGACATTTCTTTGTTCTGTTTTCCCAAGTGTAGGCCAGAGAAAAAACTATTACTTCTGAGGACCCAGCCAACCCTAGGTTTTCATAATGTCGAGGGCGTTAACAGGGAGCATCAGGGGAGACAAGCCCATCTCGAGAAATGTGCTCCCAACTCCAGAGGTGGGACCGCCCTGAGCAGGCGCCTTCAGTTCTCGCGCCGAGGTGACCCGGCCCCCCGGGGCCCCG